ATCATCATCATCATCATCATCATCATCATCATCATTATCATCAGCAGCAGCAGCAGCATCAGCATCAGCATTCAAATCCGCCTCCTCCTCCGCCTCCTCCTACTACTCCCCTTCCTCCTCCTCCGCCTTCATCATCAGATTAGTTATATCCCTCCTTGCCCTCATCATCGTCATCATCATCGTAACATCATCATCGTAACATCATCATCGTAACATCATCCTTCTTCTCCACCATCAGGGCGGTTCTCCCTTCCCTTGCCCCCCTCTGAATTGTTGCGCGTCGTCTGACGACACAAACTTCGACGGTAGCACGTCGAAGAAAAAGATAGAGGAATGGAGACTAGGAGGAGGAGGAGGAGGAGGAGGGGGAGGAGGAGGAAGAGCAGGTGGAGCACAACCAAAAAGCGAGGGGACGGAAAAGGAGCAGAGGGATCGGGAGGATGGGCGAAGTGGGAGCAGAGGGGGAGAGAAGAGGCAGGGAGAACAAAAGCGCAAGGGGACGGGCGAGAGATGGAGGAGGGGGCAAATGGGCAGTGGAAGGAAGATCACGAGAAGGAGAAAGCGGGAGGGGGGAGGGGGGGGAAGGGGGGAGGAAGGGGGAAGGAGGGTGGAAAGGAGGGGCGGGTAGAAATGGGAAGGGGGAATGGGGGAAAGGCAAAGGGGCGGGGAGAAGGGAGAAAGGCGAAACGGGGAAGGGCAAAAGGGGGGGGGGAGTAAAGCGTGACCGGGACAAGGGGCAAGGGGGGAGAGGCGGGAACGGGGAGCGGGACCCGATTCATCGGATCTCCCGTTTTTTCCTCACCACCACACGAAGTATCCCACAGGTCTTGGAGCCCTTCGACTTACGATAATCACACGCAGTAGTGGTACGAGCACATCTTGCGAAAGCAACAGTGGACATAATCCGCCACCGCGCTTGCAACGGCTGATGCGTGTGTCGGGCCTTGCCTTTTTCGCTCGCAATCTCTCGCTAGGCAGGACAGAGCCCTGGGCGTATCCAGCCCACCATACGCTCAACTCTTAGACGTGCAAGTCCCTGCATGTTGTTATGCCCACTGACTTCGTCCAGTGGGCCAATACTAATGAAGGATGCCACCTCGATGGAGTCAACACACCAGGAAGACGAGGAAGGGCACGTAGCGAGGATCGGAAGCGAGCCAGTAACGGGAGGCCGTCCACTCATAAGTTGGCACCACAGTCATAACTGCGGGCAGGGGGGGGTCATGCCGACCCACCACTATGCCCCCCCCCATCGCCCAGGAGACCCCCAAGCGTGGTGACGGGTTCGGCCGGCGGCGCAACTGGATGATCAGGCATTGGAGGTTGGGGGGGGAGATCGAAGTGGAATGGAGAACCCACCACGGAGAAATCGGTCTCCGTGGTTTCGGGTCGTGTCATGCGTGGGCGGGGCGGGCTGGAGGAATGGCTCCGCTGTGGCCAGGGCGGGTCAGAGCCGTTGACCCCTCCTCCCCCCCCCTCCTGTGGTCCAGCGGTGGCCCGGGTGTCCCGCCGTGGCCAGTGACCCGTCGCTGTCCCGTCGGTGTCCCGCCGCGGTGGGCGGGCGGTGGCCGGGTTGTCCCGCCGTGGTGTCCCGTCGGTGTTCAGTGGGTGTCCCGTCGTGGTGTCCCGTCGGTATTCCGTTGGTGTCCAGTGGGTTTCCCGTCGGAGTCCCGTCGGTGTCCAGTCGGTGTCCCGTCGGTGTCCCGTCGGCGTCCAGTGGTGAGATCGATAGTGAGATCAATAGTGCGATCGATAGTGAAATCGGTCGTGAGATCGAACATCAAATCAATGCGTGTCCCGATGGTGTCCCGTGTTTTCCCGTCGGTGTCCCGTCGGTATCCCGCGGGTGTCCCGTCGGTGTCCCGTCGGTGTCCTATGGTTTCCCGATCGTGCCCAACGCAACTCGTTGTGAGATCGATGGAGGGATCGATCGACGGATGCACAGTGGAATTGGCCGTGAGGTCGATAGTGAGATCGATCGACGGTGAGGTCGATCGAGTGGGGTCGATAGTGGAGTCAATCGCGACGCGGCATCGTCACCACGCGTCGTCGCCAACTCGAGGGCGCACCACCAGCATCGTCATCATCGCAGCCATCGCAGTTGCATCCGAATCGCCCTAGCGTCAACGAGATCATTCCTCTCGCGCGCCCACGGCGGGACACCGCGGGACACCAGCGGAACTCCTCGAGACAACACGGCGGGACACACCCAGCCATCGCGCGCCCACCAGAGGGACGGACTTTTGCATCCGATTCTCTCTAGCGACGGCGAGATCATTCCTCTCGCACGCCCAGGCAGCTTCGCCTCGCCCGCACGCGCGACACGAAGGCAAAACCGAAATCGATTTCCCGGTGGGGGGTTCTCCGTTCCACTGCGATCTCACCCCCCAACGTCCGACCGCTCCTCCTCCTCATCATCATCATCCTCCTCCTTCTCCTCCTCGTCATCATCGTCATCATCATCATCATCATCACCACCACCACCACCACCACCACCATCATCATCATCATCATCATCATCATCATCGTCATCATCATCATCATCATCCTCTTCCTTTATCTCCTCCTCCTCCTCCTTCCCCCCCTTCCCCCTTTCTCAGCTTCCAGATTAAAAAAAGATCCGCCCAGCCTGCTTCTCCTTCTCCAGCGTGCTCTCGATCTCCTTTGACTTGGCCTCGGCCGCCCTTTCGGCCTCCGCCAGCTTGGCCCTCTCGTCCTGGAAGGCCGAAGCCCGGAGTGGCGGGGAGAACAGCCATCCCACGCACACACACACACACACACACACAAACAAAAAATATACAGACAAGCAAACAAACCGACACGCAAACAGCAGGCGGACACAGACAGACAGGCATACACATAGATAATAGACATACACCTACATACATACATACATCCGTCCATACATGCATACATATATATATATGTGTATACGTACATATACGCATATGATCATGCATGTATGCATGCCTGCCTATATACATGTACTCATGCATACATACGTACATACACATATGCATACATGCATACATACGTGCATGCTTACATACATACATGTACACATTCAGGACAACACATACATACATACATACATACATACATACATGCATGCATGCGTGCATGCATGCATACATACAAACATACATACACGCATACATACACACAGCCATATATACATACATGTACACACCTACATCCATACATGCATACACACACATACATGCCTACATACATGCAGACAGACAGACATACACATATACATACATACAAACGTGCATGAATTCATACATACATGCATGCATACATACATGCATGCATGCATACATACATACACATGCACATGCACATGCATACATACACACCTACATGCATACAGACATAGTTGTATGAATACATAAATGCATGCGTATATGCATACATGCATGCATACATGCATCCATGTACGTATACAAACAAACATTCATACATATATATAGATGTAGACATATATATAGATATATACATACCTACATATACATGCATGCATGCATGCATACATGCATGCATGCACACATACAGATAAACATACATACACATAGCGAGGGTTAAGAGACAAGGAGAGAGAAATTGACACCATGGCTGGCTAGGGACATCCACGGCCCCGGCATAGCGCATGCACCCTCCTGGCCGAAGCTAAGAGGGTGTATCGACCATCCCGGAGCCCAGGATTACCCCGGAAAGAAACAGACAGAGAGAGAGAACGAGAAACAAACGACAGAGAGAGAGAGAAGACAGAGAGAGGGAGGGAGAAGGAGAGAGAGAGAGAGAGTAAAAAAACATCTATACTATATATACATATATATAAGTGCATACACACTACTTAGTTATGTATGTATGTATGTATGTATGTATGCATGCATGCATGCATGCGTGTATGTATGTATGTATGTATATATGTGTGTATGTATGTATGTGTGTGAGTATGTATGTATGTATGGATGGATGTATGTATGTATGTATGTATGTTTGTATGTATGTGTGTATGTGTGTATGTGTGTATGTATGTATGCATGCATGCATGTATGTATGTATGTATGTCTGTCTGTCTGTGTATGTATGTATGTATGTATTTATGTATGTATGTATGTGTGTATGTACGTACGTACGTACGTACGTACGTACGTATGTATGTATGTATGTATGTATGGATGTATGTATGTATGTGTGTATGTATTTATGTGTGTATAGGGTGAGTGCGACATTGCACACTGGCGCGACATCCAGAAACATGCACGGATAAAAAACGCCCTCATTCCCACGGCTGTCACGCATGGCACTGCAAGGCCGCCGATACTCAGTGAAACAAAAGAATAGCACGAGGACAGACAGAAGCAAGAGGAACAGGACGAAGAGGAAAATGAGGAGGAAGGGGAGGAGGAAGAGAGGGGGAGGGAAGAGACCAGCAAGAGTCGGGGGATGGACGACGGAGGAGGGAGGATAAGCAGGGGGAGGAGGGAAAGGGAGGAGGAGAAGCCTGAAAAACAAGGGCTGGTAGGGGAGAAGAGTGGCGGGAGGAGAAGAGGGGGATAGCCGAAGTATCACAGAGGAAGAGCCCCTTTCCCTTGATATGTCCGCTCTCCTCATCGCGTCGGCACAAGCAACCCCCGTGGATGGCTGGGGGGGCGGTCGGGCCGATGCGCCGTGCAGGATTGGCCGACGCGCCGTGCAGGATTAGCTGCGGCAGCGCAAGACCGCACCTGCGCTTCTAACCAGTCGGGTGTTGCCAGAAGTGCCCCTGGCCCAAGGTGCCCCCAACTTTTCGCTCCATTTCTGAGCCCCTGGGGCCCTCTGGGCCTCGTGAGGGGTGCCCTGGAGGCCGTCTGGGCCACCCCGAGAATCCTGGGGGTACCTTGGGCCAGGGGTACTTCTAGCAACACCCGAACCAGGAGGAGGGAAGTCATTGGGTGGCACTCAGGACGATTATAGCCATGGCTGAAACGTTGAACGACAATCTGACAAAAAAGCAGCAGAGAAGCATACCAAACAGCAACACACAAAAGAAACAGGGGCCAGCTCGAAGGCAGATTCACGCCCTAACGCTGGGCAAGCCCTGCTCGCGCAGCCCCGAACGTGCGCAGGGGGTAAACCGGGCCAGCTCTCAGAAGCTGACGAAGACATGCAGGGTCAAGGAGAAGTGGGGAGGGTCCTGGGTGATCGGCGCAAGCTGTAATAGAAGACGCTGAAGGGACCAACTCTCCGACTCCAGAAATCTAGACAGACAAGCGCGACTTACCACTCGCAAAATAACTACTCGCAAATCCCACCAGCCCTTTAGGGCGTAGGTGGTCTAGAGAGTTTCCTCTGCCAACCCCCTTCTTCCCCTTCGGGGAGGGGTTTACCCCTCCCCTTACCCCTCCCCACTGACCTGGACGAGGCGTTCCGCGACGCGTTGGGACGTCCAAGATGGCCCAAGACAGCTCCAAGAGCGAAAATGCGAGAAAGCAAAAAACATTGATTTTACCTAGGTTTTGGAAGGATTTTGGCCTCTTGGGGGGGCCCAAGAGGCGATCCGAGGCACTCTAGAGGGGCGAGAGCTAATTGAGGCTCCCCCCTTCTTTGATAGATCTCCTCCAAGATGGCCCCAAGAGCGCCCCGAAGGCTCCCAAGAGCGCCCCAAGAGCGCCCCAAGAGCGCCCCCAGAGACCCCAAGAGGCCCCCAAGAAGCCTCTAAGAGGCTGCCAAGAGACCCCCAAGAGGCCCCAAGAGAGTCCAAGATGGCCCAAGACGGCTCCAAGAGCGAAAAGGCGAGAAAGAAAGCAAAAAACATAGATTTTCCTTAGGTTTTGGAAGGATTTTGGCCTCTTGGGGGGCCCAAGAGGCGACTCGAGGCACTCTAGAGGGGCAGCGCTAATATACGACCCTCCCTTCTTTGATCGATCCTCCCTCCAAGATGGCCCCAAGAGCGCCCCGAAGGCTCCCAAGAGCGCCCCAAGAGCGCCCCAAGAGCGAGAGGGCCCCAAGAGGCCCCAAGAGGCCCCCAAGATGCCCCCAAGAGGCTCCCAAGAGACCCCCAAGAGGCCCCAAGATGCTCCCAAGATGGCCCAAGACGGCTCCAAGAGCGAAAAGGCGAGAAAGCAAAAAACATTGATTTTCCTTAGGTTTTGGACGGATTTTGGCCTCTAGGAAGGCCCAAGAGGCGATTCGAGGCACTCTAGAGGGGCAACGCTAATAAGCAACCCCCCCTTCTTGATAGATCTCCTCCAAGATGGCCCCAAGAGCGCCCCGAAGGCTCCCAAGAGCGCCCCAAGAGCGCCCCAAGAGGGCCCCAAGAGGCCCCAAGAGGCCCCCAAGAGGCCTCCAAGAGGCCTCCAAGAGACTCTCAAAAGGACACAAGAAGCTCCCCGAGATACGCAAGAGGCCCCCGGGACCGCCAAGAGGCCCCAAAGACGGCCCAAGAGGCCCCCAAGCTCGCCATTGTCCTCCTCCTCCTCCTCTTTTTCTCCTTCCTCCCTCCTCCCCCTCCCCCTCCTCCTCCTCCTCCTTCTCCTCCTCCTCCTCCTCCTCCTTCTCGTCCTCCTCGTCCTCGCCCTCCTCCATCTCCTCCTCCTCATCTTCCTCCTCCTCCTCCTCCTCTTCCTCCTCCCCCTCCTCCTCCTGCTCCTCCTCCTGCTCCTCGTCTTCCTCCTCCTACTCCGACGACGACGACTCCTCCTACATCCTCCCCCTCTTGGAACGTATGGCGGCTTAACCCGCTCTTTGTTCTTCTGCATGCTCCCCCGCTTCCCTCATCACCTCCACTCCTCTGGGGCTCATTTCTGGACGGGCTGGTGGGGATACGCGAAGCGTCTAGAATTGCCTGGATCCGCAGCGGAGGATGCACGATCCACTACATCTAAGCGAACATGTGTTCACCAGACGTTTGCGAGCAAGCACTGTGCGAGTCGTGGAACGCGCTCAGTGAAGACCTGGGCTCCAAAAAGATCACGCCTTTGGGGGGGCACATCTCTTACTGCCGGAAGCCTCCGCGGGCCTCCGCCGGCCTCCTCCGCCAGCGGAGCCGCCCCCGGTGCTGCCTCCACGGTGGCGCGAAGACGCCCGGGTGCACGAAGAGCGCCAGAGGAACAACCATGGAAGGACTCCAGGGACCGCGAGCCCCTTACAACCCCAAGCTGCTCGTTGTGTCATAGATTGCGGCGAGGGAAGCATATTTCGCCAAGGAGCTTCCCAGGGCGTCCCAAGACTCCTCTGAGCTCCGCAGGGCCACCGGTGAACAAGAACCCCCCCGCAGGGCACCCATTGGCAGGCCGATGTTCGTTCCAGGGAGCAGGGCCCCATGGCACGGCAGAACAAGGAAGAGGTTCGCAAGCGGCGATGAGGTGCAGCTGCCTGGAGTAAGTTGGGGTATGCAGACGAGTTCTGCGGTTCTGCGGGGGACATCGACGAAGGAACAACTGACGAACGGACAACACACACACACATACCCATAGGGGGACGGGCGGGGCTGTGGTTGCGTGTTGTCGGTTGGGGGCCCCCGCCCGAACGGAAGCCTTCCCAGGGGGCCGACAACCCGCACCTATACCCATAGCCAGTACTCATCCCTCCGACCTCCCTATGGGTATGGGTGTGTGATGTTCGTTCGTCAACAACGACGGCGAAACAACTACATACGCGACGATGAGACAACTACGAGTTCTGGGGGGCATCGACGAAGAAACAACTACATCAACATTACATTGTCGGAGGGCCGCGCGGATTTCTTGGATCGGCGCCGGGCCCTCTGCCTGGCGCCTCCAGCGCGCATGGGGCGGCGCTACGGAGGCGCCGCAAGGGACGGCCTCACGACGACCCAAGAAATCCGCGCGGACCTCTGGAAGTCGATGCTTACAGCTGAACCTAGGACACAAAAACATCCTTCAAGAACATGAAACCCTCCGCCGGCCAAAACACACAGAGCATCCAAGGGTAGCCTCCCCAGGAAGCACAAAAACATCCAACACACACGAAAAACAGTAGGGTGCCCTCCCCGAACTGACCTCGATCTTACACCTCAGTCCGACTGTATGCAACTGTTTAACGTTCGAAAACAACGTGCCGCAGGAGACGAAGAGGACGATGGAAGAGGCAGCATTCCGCGACTAGGTCTGTCTGCTGGCTGCTGCTGCTGCTGCTGCTGCTGCTGCTGCTGCTGCTGCTGCTGATTCTCCGCCTCCCCCTGTCAGAAGGCCCCGCCTTGCAAAACATGCCGAAGGGCGCCTGACGAAGTCGCCGGAGGAGGAGGAGGAGGGGGAGGAGGAGGAGGAGGAGGAGGAGGAGGAGAGAGCAAAAAAAAAAAAACACAGCGCTCCGCCAGCTCGCGCAGGGCTGTCTCCCTCTCGCTCGCGATCTGCTCCTGCTCCCGGCACGCCTTGGCGTGCGCCTGCAGGGCTGCCTGGCTCGCGCGCGGCCGCCGAGGGCGCCGGCCTGGCCACCGATGCCCTCGCGGGCGACCCCGCTGGTCTCAGGGCGACGAGATCCTACGCTTAGGTTGGGCATGTCCCCCTACAGGCGGATTTTGGACGAAAAATACCAGATACCCAAATAATTATCCAAAAATGCTAGAAAAGTCGTCCCCACACAATGTTTTAACAATGTTTGGATATTCCTCCTGTAGAGGAACAGGCCCGACTTAATCCTACGCATTCGGCCATGTACCCCTTGTTACCCATCGGCTTTGGGCGGTCTTCGGTGGTCTTCGGCGGCCTTCTGCGGCCTCCTGTCGGCATTCGGCCGTGTTCGGTGGTCTTCGGCAGTTTCCAGCGGCCTTCCAGCGCGAAAGCCAAGTGGTTGCGTTTAACAGGGGGTCCATGCACCCTGGGGGGGAAGTGAGCGGGGGCAGGCCTTCTCAGAAAGCGGCCGTGCTTCTCAGAAGCCCTCTGGCCTTGTGAGAAACTGTATCCGTCTTCGGAGATGGCTTAGAAAACTCCTCAAAGGCCAGAAGCCTTTCGAGCCTTCTGAGGAGGCCCGCCCCGTCCGACTTCCCCCTATAGGCTCGCCGCCGACCCAAGAGATCTACACACGTCCACCGCCCCGGGCCAGGCCCATTCTGGGCCCAGGATCGGTGTACATACCTCCCTGGGCTGGCCAGGGAGGCACATACACCGATCCTGCGTGATCCTGCGCCCAGGGTGGACCTGGCCAGGGGCGATGGATGTGTGTAGATCTCGTCGCCCGAGGTCTCCCGGACCTCCGCACACCACCACGCTGTGCCAGCCCGGGTGCCGCCCTGCCCGCCGACGCCAGCTGCAAGCCGACGCCGGGTCTGCACGCACATTCCCTTGGCAAGGGTGACACCTGGTGCGCGGCCTGCAGGGCAACACGTGCCACACGGCAGTGGCGGCCCGCTTGCTTGGAAGAGGCCGCCCCGAGTGGGGCCGGGTCGGAGGATCTCACCACATCGCCGATGCATCGACGACGCATCGGCGACGTCGTGGCGGAGAGAATCGGGCTCGGGATCGGGCTGCAACGCCCCTGCTGCACGGGCCATGCAGCGCGACCCCCCGGCCCTGTCTGCTCTGGCCCCAGAGTAGGGGGGCCTGCACACTGGCGAGGGCAGCAGGGCGGAGACACCGACATCCTGCTCAGGATGGGCCTGGCCAGGATCGGTGCAGATTTACAGCTGACGCCCTGCGACACAGTGGGGGCCCGACCACAAGAAACCCAACCCTGAGACCCCAGGATGTGCATTTACTTTTGGTGCGGGAACGTCACGCCTTCCATCGCAAAACCATCGAAGCCCAAGAAACCTAGGGCACCCTGGAGGCAAGCAGGGCGTTTCTTGGCATGGGCCCCCACTGCATCATGCGTCCTCAGCCCCACCCGCCAAAGACGGCAAGAGACTCCAAAAACCTTATCGATCCTCGATGCCCCCCTCCTCCGCAGTCCTCGATCTCCAGGAAGGAGTGACGACCCCCTAGTGGCGCATCCCTTGGCACTGCCCGACCGTCCTCCCCACCCTGCCCCGCGCTCCGCCCGGGCACGCGCCTCGCGCTCCTGGTGGAAGGCCTCCTTGTCCTCCCGCTCCTGCGGGGGCGGGGGAGGGGGGAAGGGGAACTCCGCAGGGGGGCCGACGGGCACCGTGCGGGGGACCCCTCAGGAGGGGAGAGGAGGGAGGGGGAACCGCCAGATCCGGGCTGCGCGCCCGCCCTACCGATGCTCCCTGGACCTCAAGAGTGTCGGCTGCACGCAAGAGTGACCTAGGGTAAGGTTGACCATTGGTGCGCGGCTCGTCGGGGGCCGCGCGGGGACCAAACACAAGCGCGCAACACGCTCCCACCGCATCGCGTTCGGCGATTGGGGGGGGCCTCACTCCTGAGTGTCGTTTAACCGATCCCCATCCCCAGCGGCGTGGCCTGGGCCCCCCTGGTCGATTTACCCCCCTAGATGGGGATATAGGTCGTTCGCTTCGGGTTTCGAGGGGTGTATCCCCAACTGGGGCGGTAATTTGGTGGGCGTCTCGAAGGGGATGCGGATGGGGATGGGAATGGGGATTGGTGAAACGATACTGGGATAGGGGGGCCCCTCACTCCAGCGACAGGTCACTCTTACGCGCAGCCGACTCGGAACGGAAGCAACGGACGGGCGGCGGCCTCTCCAGACCAGCCGGACAACCTCGCGGAGGTCTGGGCCCGCTCTCCCAGGGGACCAGCACTCTTCGGGAGCGGCCCACGGGGGGGGCGTCCAAGAGAGGGGGGGGGCGCAAATCATGGCCGGCGGCACGTGCACGGCCCAACGCGGGGCCAGGGACGTAACGAAATAGAGGAAGATCGTGGGCGCGCAAACATGGATTGGCGATCCATGGATTTGGCGCGCAGTCGCCAAATCCATGGATCGGGGGAGGTGCCCTCCCCAAAATGCAGCCCGTGCCGCCTCGCTCGGCGGCGGAAATCCGCGATTTCCCAGGGGAACGGGACCCGTCGCTAATCCACGCCCCCTTAATCCATGTTTGCGATCGCCTGAGAAGAGGCGCCATAAAATCTGACAAAATATCATGGCCGACGCCATGGTATCCACCCCCCAGCCGTCGACTGGCGCAGGTCCAGGCCAGGCGGTGAGGGGGAGGGCGGAGTCGGCGTCGCGGAGCCGAGCAACCTCGCCTACGCTTCCCCCTCGCCAGGCGCTGGGCCAGCCCAGCCTCGACACCCCCAGGAGCCATCACGACACCACTGCGCTCGCGCAGCAGGGTCGGGCGGGCGGGGAAAAACGCATCCCGCCAGCGGGACGAGGCGAATCGCGACCACCTGCGACGAGAACGCGCACGCGGGCGCGCCGGGTGGGAGCCACCACCCCCTTCTTGGCCGCCCCCGAACTTGTATCGCCCGGAGCTGTGTTTTTGGGTTGCAGGCCCCCGAGGCCCGACGAGGGCCCCGGAAGGCTGGAGGCGTCTGTGTGTCTGTGTGTGTGCGTCTGTGTGTCTGTGTGTGTCTGTGTGTGTCTGCGTCTGTGTGTCTGTGTGTGTCTGTGTGTGTCTGTGTGTGTCTGTGTGTGTGTCTGTGTGTGTGTGTGTTTGTCTGTGTGTCTGTGTCTGTGTGTGCCTGTGTGTCTGTGTGTGTGTGTGTCTGTGTGTCTGTGTGTCTGTGTGTGTGTCTGTGTGTGTGTGTGTGTGTCTGTGTGTCTGTGTGTGTGTCTGTGTGCGTCTGTGTGTGTTGCATGTGTGCGCTTCTCCTCCCAGCCCTCCCGCCCGCTATCGCAGGCAGGGACGGCCGCTCTAGCCCTGCCTGGCTGGCAGACGCCTGCACGGGCGGGCCTGGCTTACAGCAGGGGCCCGACCACAAGAAACCTGCCACAAGAAACCCAACCCTGAGATCCCAGGACGTCCATTGACTTTTGGTGCGGAAACGTCACGCTTTCCATCGCAAAGCCATCGAAGCCAAAGAAACCCAGGGCACCCTGGAGGCAAGCAGGGCGTTTCTTGGCATGGGCCTCCACTGTAAGCCCCCTCCTCCGACGTCGCATGTCTGTTCGTGGCGCCGGCCCCCCTGGATCTCGACCTGCTCCCTGGGGCTGGCTTTTCGTCCCGAGCCGTTTTCTGACGGCCCGGGCCAGGAGACGGCCTCCAGCGGCCAAGGACGACGAAAAACGGGCCGTCGCCCGAATCTGACGAAGGGGGGGCTGGCTGACCTGGAACAGGCGATGCATGGCCGATAGATCATCGACAGGCCCCCGATGGCGAAATTCGGACGCCTCGGGGCGGAGTGGAGGGCCCAGGCCCCACTGGCGGCGAGGAATGGGCGCTTGGGGGTCGATGCCTCCCCCACTGGGCGAGTCCCCCCCCCCCCCTGTCCCTGCCCCTCCCTGAGAGCCAACGTCGCGGGAACAGTGCAACACCGTGATCGGGCGGCCTCCTCGCGGGACCACCAGGCTGCGCGGATGAGGTGAACTGTGCTCTGCCCTGGTTTGAATTGATGGGCGTGTTTTCCACCACCACCACCACCACCATAACTTGGAGGGGGAGGGGGTCCTCCTCCTCCTCCTCCTCCTCCCCCTCCTCCTCCTCCTCCTCCGCCTCCTCCTCCTCGTCGTCCTTCTCCTTCCCCCATCCAACTAATGGTGGTGGTGGTGGAAAGCAGGCCCATCATCAATTTTCAATGTCCAATGTAACGATCTTGTTCTCTGCCTCCTGCTGTGAATTGTTGCTGCCCGCGCGACGGAGGGAGCCCAAAGCCACTCACTCACCAGGGCCTGGTCAAGGCCTCCCTGAAGGTCCCTCCGAGGGGGCCGCGGTCCCTCGCGGACCCCCTTATGCAAAGGGCTCCGGCGGCCTCAGACGGCCACGAGACGCAAGAAGGCCACAAGACGAGCCAAGAGAGCTCGACGAGGGCCCCCAGACAGCTCAAGAGGGCCCGAGATTGCCCGAGAGCGTCCCAAGAAGGCCCACGATTGCCTCAAGACGGCCTCAGGAGCCCCCAAGACGCCCCAGGAGAGCTCCAAGTTTACCCTCCGCGGGGGCCCCAAAAGATCAAAATAAACTGTTTCCCGTAGGTGGTTGAAGGATTTGGGCGCTCTCGTCGTTTCGAGCTTTCAGCACTCCCAGACAGCCCAGGAGAGACCGAGATCGCTCCAAGACGGCCCAAAAGGCACCCATGAGGGGTCAAGCATGGCCCAAGACGGCCTCAAGGCGGCCCAGGAGGCCCCCACGAGGGCCCAAGAGGCCCCCCAAGAGGGCCCTAAGAGGGACTGAAGAGAGGCTCATGCGGCGAAAGCAAGGGGGCTGCGGGAGCCCGTCCCCGAAACAGTGCCGCCGAGACCCTCAACAAGCCCCCAAGGAGCCCCCAAGACACCCCCAAGAGGCGCCCAAGACGCACCAAGAGGCCCAACACAGCCCCTCCAAGAGGCCCCCGAGAGGCCTCCCAAGAGATTCTAAGAAGCATCCCAACGAGGCCTTCGTTCACGTCCCAAGCACAGTCGTGGGCTTCGCAACGCCACTGGTTACATCGAAGACGCCTTCGAGCGACCCCAACGAAGGATACTTGGCTGACATGCTCCTCCTCCTCCTCCTCCTCCTCCTCCTCCTCCTCCTCCTCCTCTTCCTCCTCCTCCTCCTCCTCTTTCTCCTCCTCCTGCTCCTCCTCCTCCTCCTCCTCCTCAATCTCCCCCTCCCCTTCATCAGCGTCAGCGTCATGCTCATCCACGTTCTCTTCTTCCACATCATCCTCGCCATCCTCCTCCTCCTTCTCCTCCTCCTCCTCCTCCTCCTCCTCCTCCTTCTCAGTTCCCCCAGGGGCGGCGCGCCCAAGAGGGCCCCAAGATGGACCCGAGAGGGACCCGAGAGGGGACCAAGATAATATGCGAACGGGCCTTGCGAGCCTGTTCTGGAAAGATTGCCGCCCATACCCTGAACATACCTCCAAGGGGCCCCCAAGACACCCCCATGAGGCGGCCCAAGAGGCCCCAAGAGGCCCCAAGAGGCCCCAACAGGCCCCAAAAGCACCCACACAGCCCCTCCAAAGAGCTCCCGAACAACCTCCCACGAGACCGTAGGGAGCATCCCAGAGAAGCGTTCGTCCATGACCCAAGCAAGGTCGCCGGCATCGCCGACAGCCACTGAATACTTCGAAAAGGCCTGCAAGCGATCCTTGCCAAGGATACTTAGCTGGCATGCTCCACCTCCTCCTGCTCCTCCTGAATCCTACCAGCCTCTTCATCAGCATCAGCGTCATGATCACTCACGTCCTCCTCCTCCTCCTCTTCCACCTCCTCCTGAGTCCTGACTCCTGAGTCCCGAGTCCTGGGTCCCGAAGGCAAAAAGTTCGTCCAGACGTTGCCCTCCCCCCGGGTCCGGTCGGCCCTCAGGGGGGTGATCACCTTAAAGCGTCAGGTGACGTGTGCCAAAAGCTGGTAGCTAAATGAAGCCAAACGGCCGCCCAGAACAGCACAAGAGGCCCAACGAGAGGCCTCAAGCCCCTGAGAGACTCCCTCGGCTGTCGACGGGGACCCGAAAGTGCCACCGACAGGGCTTCCAGAAGCCTGCAAAGTCTCAACTGACCTCCTGAGGACTGAACACCAAAGACCCCCGGCCTCCAAATAAACCGGTCCCCCTGCCACACGCGCAGTACCCTCAACAGACCCCCCCAAGACACCACTCGACGGGCACCCAGGACGCCCCGAGCATGAATCCGTCGCCAGGCAACTCTTCGCCCATACGTGCGTCACACTCCTAGAGAGCGGCCGGTCACGAGCCGCTGACGTCCCCGATCACGACCACAGCTCTACAGGCCCTGTCATTCGGCGGAACTTTCCGAACCAGATCGGTCTGCGAACGCCCTGGCTGGGGCCCGAATCGGGGCGAAACCGCCGGGCGAGAACAAGAAAGCGGCGCCAGGATCTCAGGCCAGGTCTGGGCACTCCTCTCCAATGTCGGCCCCTGAGCTGCTCCAGGAGCGCGTTCTGAGAAGGACTCCGAGGGGAATCCAGCAGTGGCGACGAGGAGCCTGGGCAGAGACCTAAAAGGGGCGACGAGCCTCACAAACTCTCGATCGCCAGGATTCCGGGGCGTGCCTCTGCTAAGAGGGGCGACGAGCCTC